TTCAAATTAAAATGGGCTAATGAGTTTTAATAATGATTTGGGCTTTAAAATTAAAATTATGAAATAATCTGATTTATTTAATTAATTTGCTAATTTGTTTAAAAAAAAATAAAATAATTTAATTAATTCAATATAAAAAATAAAAAAATTATTTAGTTTCGGTTCTTATTCGGTTTTTGGTCTAGACCCGGGACCCGACCCAAACCCATCGGTTCTCGATTCGGGTACCCATTCGGGTATTTAATTTATGAAGAACCGCTCGGTTCGGTTCGAGTTCGATTTGATCCGGTTCGGTTCGGGACTTTTGGACACCCCTAATATGATCTAATTGATTAAACCCTCAACTTTACCTTTCAACATCTACAGGTATTCTCACGCACCTCCATCTCAATCTACAATATCACGTTATATAATTTCTGATGTGAATATTAATCGATGCATATTTCAAATTATGTAATGGTTTCTTCAAGTAGTGCTACATAGGATGCTACGAGAGCAGAATCAAAACATGCACATCACCTGGAAAGAAACACGGCCTATCAAGCAACCCGAGAAATGGAGACATCACGAAAAAAGTTCCGTTTTTACCTTTTGTACATTTTTTCCATTTCCATTTTTATTTTTTCTTCCATGGCAGTTAACATAAATCGGTTTTATGTATTTTGGTGTACTTTTAGCACCATTGTATCCAAATAAGGCAAACAGAGAAGGTGATATCAAGGATAGGAAAATCTGAAAATCTGAAGAAAAATAGGAAAATTTGAAAATTGAGTGGGGGTGGCGGCCCACACTGGGCCTCGTGTAGGTCCACCCCTGAAAATATGGACTTCTTGTCCCATTAATCATTGCAATTTTTTGAGTTAAAAACATGGCGCTAGAAGGACTAAAAACATCGGAGTTCTAAAATTAGTCACTGAGCTTCCGTTTTAATTCCGAGTTCAATGACCAAAATGAGACGACGCTATAAGTTGGATGACTGTCTTTCACAGAAAATATAGCAGATGGGAACGCATAATATTTAGAGAGAAGCGATTTTTAGCAAGAATCTCTTCACTTTTAGCTGATGAACTACCCCATCTTGCTTTAAACAAACAAAAATCACACAACAGAATAATCACTTTAAGAAAAGAGACATTCCAAAAGTGTACCAACTGAAGTCTCTAATCCATAGAAGATAAGAAGTAATAAAGTAGCATGAGAGTCAAATCTTTCAGTTAAATAGAATAGACAGGCTTCACAGGGAAGCAGGATTTTATTCACAAAGGGCCATATTTACACTGAACAATAGTCATTACATATCGAAACCTAACACCGATAATATCAAGAATTTATATATTGCGATGCTGAGCTGAAATGATCATGTGTCTTCCTCTCGATTCTCACAAAATCGAAGTAATAACCTTTTTGATAGCTGAAAGAAGTACTCGTCAATGTAGACGAATATTGATCTCGACTCAGCAACTCGTACTTTAGTGTTTGATAGTAACTAGTAGAAGCTTCAATAATTGTTGAAAGAGGAAAGCCATTGCTCCATGTACTTCTTTCCCTCTGCAACAAAACCAGATTGAAAGCAAAAATAAGTTTCCATCACCATTTCTTCTGCTTAAAAGATAGATGAAAGAAAAAAAAAAAAAATACTTTCTATATCAACGGAGAGAAACAAATTAATTATCACCACATTGTCCATCAAATCCCATTCATAAAGCCTTGTGCTCAATAAATTTAAAGATAGCTTTTTTGCCACTCCATTCAATTCATCAGTAGATCTGCTTGAAGATCCAAAATAAATCCTTAGCAATCACGAAAAGTTATGTTCTCAAAGACTTCATTAAAACAAAGTGTTTTTTGGGATGAGAAATACATAATAGAAGAACCCGAATTCGACCTAACATTATGCCTGGCAGCAAGTACGACACAACCAGGAAAGAAAAAGGTAAACATACAATACTATAACCAGCACAATTTTCTCGACATCATGCAAACTGACACATTTCTTGTAATAATATATGACCTGAGGAAAATGCTTATGCCTGGTTAGTACATAACCAGGGGCCTCTGCCTTCTATTATAAAGCACCAAATATACAGAAGCCAAGGGTAAGAGACCCAAGAACTAAAAGACCTACTAATCTTTGAAGTCTCTAACGTTAAGATTTATTTCTTCGATGTCTTCAAGCACAGTATTATTAAAACGCCGTTAAATCTAAGTGCATCCACCAAAGACAATATAAGATATCATATATTATGTACATGTGCAATGTCACGAAAAGTATCAATCAAGTTCAACATCATCAGTATATCACAATTCAAAGAGAAAAAAACATACTAAAAATGATTGATGCTGCATATAATACTTGTAAGATTTAATCAATCCATGTTACCTAACTTGCCATAACAACACAAGGATAAAGTCTAAATATTGAGCAAACGTTGCATATATAGCTCAATTCTTACATAATACTAATAACTTACGAGATCCATGTTACTGAACAAGCCATAACGAGACAAGGACAACATATGAAAATGATCAAATGCTGCATGTACAGCTTGATTCTTACCAGCAGAGTACTGATTTGGAAGGTTTCTAATTGCACTCAGGAACTGACTACCCATCCCTTCCTCCTCCTCGTCGCTCACTAATTCTTTGCAATCATGCCTATAACAGGGGACCAACACAGCAAAACTGCTATCTGCCTCATCATCACTCTGGAAATCGGGGGCGTGTGGCTCCAACCACCCGATGGACCAGTCCGAGTCGTCAGATTCGGATCCCGATAAACAAACGCCATCTGATGGCACCACCACCACATCATACTCCTTGTCAATCCTCCTCCTCCTCTCCTCCCTACTCTTCCATTTCCTTTTCAGTTTTCTATTCGAACTCGAAGGGGGCATTCTACTATTAGTCCCCTTCACTGAGGGAAACTTCAATCCTTCGGGCTCTCCTCTCAATCCTAAACCCCAATCAGACAAAGAATTTATCGATGACCCATTAGAGACCTGCTCTCTCTCTTTCCCTGCCAACCACCACCATGAAAATCTAGTGAAAGAAAGAGCCATTTTCTCCCTCTTTTTCTATTCTTTTTATTGAGCAAAAGTCAATTATCGCAAACTGATGGTTACAACGGAAACGAAGCAGAATGTATTCAAATTCGAATCTAATAAATTATCAAAATCTCAAATACAACTAAACAGAAAAACAAGAAATGTTAGCAATTAATTAAATCCATTCCCCTAAAAAAGTTAATAGCAATTCAGATTAATTAACTTCAAGAAACATGTCTTAAACGAGGAAATTAACACGACTGCTCCAAACAAGAAAAGACCATAGGGATCTTAACAAAGAGCACATTCAAATTATTAAGAAATTTAAATATTTTTTGAGTAAATTTCAAAAAATGGTTGAAGACGATGTTACTAAGAAAATCCTTTTGATCCCTCCACGAAAGATTGCAGTTTTCAAAAGTTTCGGGTAAAAAACAAACGGCGACAGCACCGGAAAACCCGAAACTGTGCTGGGGAAGTTGAAGAAACAAACGGCGATGTCACCGGGAAAATCGAAATTCTCACCGGAAAATGAGAACTTAGTATTAAAATTCAAAATTAAAGAAGCCCAAGAACTCAAAAATCTGAAAAAAAAAAATAAAAAAAATTATAGTTCTCTCTCAAAGAAATCCATTTTTTTTTAATCCACACTAGAAGACAAACAGTATTCGAGAGAGAAGATATCAAGTTATCAAGTGAAAGTCTAGTAGGGGTGTGGGCTATATATACACTTTATCGTTTACAGTGGACTCGTTTCGTAAAGATTAAAAATCAATTAAAATTAAAAATATAGTAATTATTGATCACACTCATCGAATAAAAGTCAACAATAACGACTAATTTTTCAATTTTAATCTCTACCGAACACGCCCAATTTAATTTCTCTGTATAGATTGTAAGAAATGTTCGACTAAGCTTGAAAGGTTTACATGAAATAATTAATTTATGTACAAGCAAAAAGAAAATTCTAGAATACATAATATATTATACAAGCTAAAAATTAAAAATAAATAAGTAAACCAATAAATACAAAATAGGTTTCAACATAATGTGAATATCGTATAGTGAAGAGAATCGGGCTATATCGGTTTGCATTGGAAGTTCATATTGAAAATTCTGGAGATAGAATCATTGGTTTTTGTTGTAGGCGGAAAAAAAAATGATCTAATTTTATACCTCGAAAATAAATTGTAAGTTCTTCCTTTATTTCTCTCATGCTTTCTAACTCGGGAGACATATTTGTTGATTATAATCCATATAATTTATGATTTAATTAAAGATATTACGAAAAATAGTTTTAAAAGTAATCGAAATTAAATTAAATAATTTGAATAGTAAATTGAAGTAAAATAATTGTATTCTCATTTATATGACTTAAAATCAACTCAATTTTGAATAGAAATAATGTTGAACAGACTAATTCGATTTGATTTTGTTATAATCGTTATGATTGTTTCATTTTTGTCTTGATCCGTTGATCATGGATGATGAGAAGTCAACGGCTCGGATTTAGAGATATTGCCGTTGTAGTTTCGTAAGATTTTCCTGCCAATCAAACTAGACAAAGAGATTGAGACGTGGGTACAACTCATGACTAAAATAGTGTGGGCCGTTCGATTGGACGGCATTGAAGACGAATTTGATGATGTGGGTCACTAAACAACCAATCATTGCATGCGTTTTAGGGTTTTTTGACACGTGTAACCTAGGAAGCATGTCTTTAGAAATAATCATTTTTATTTTTAAAGCTTTTTACTTTTTTTCTTAATTAGCTTTTGATAGGAACGAATAAAAGAGTTATTTGGTCATTTTGTATACGAAAGTTGATCAAATAGTCGTCATAATCTTCATTCCTACTTTAAACGAGACTTCCTATTTCTAATTGTATTAATTCGTTAAATTTTGTCTTCTCCAACGAGAATATAGAATGCACTATTTTTTTATCCACTACGGATTAACAATTCGATTATGAAGTAAGCATGTGTGAAATCTACTTATCTACTGAAATTTCATATCGATGGATATGATATGTACTTTTTCGTTGTCGACTTCGAATATTGAAAAGTTGTATTAGCTGACATTTTTATATTTGTGAATTATTTATATGTATTGTTGGGATGTTTTTATAACCACTAAGGAATAAAGAAAAGAAAAAGAGATTTGTCAATCTTGGAAAAAAATAAAGCGTTTGCTTTAAGAAGGAAGAAACAAGCTTTTTAGGTCATAGCACCTAGTTTGAAAAGAAACCAATTATATTCTGCCAAGTGGGCCACTCTTAGCGTATTCAACACTTAAATGACTTCATTAAGGTCCTGTTTGGGAAGAAATTTTAATCAGAATTTTAATCAAAAATCTAGCCGTTAACTATTAAATCAGCCATCATTTTTTACCTTCCCTCTCATAGGTGGAGCCCACGGATTGACTTTAACGGCTATAATTTTGATTAAAATCCCACAAAAATTTCTCCCAAACATACTCTAATTAGGTGATTAAATTCTACAAAGAATGTGCTATTAAATATTCATGATAGAGAAAAAAAATTATGAGCGAAGAATATACATATAAAAATAAATAAATTAGTAGTATACTCTAAATAATTGTGATTTTGACTCTCTAATCTTCAAAAGTTGGGGTCTAACTCGTCAAACTATTTAAATATACGAATCTCGACTATCACATGATGAAAATGTCATTGTAAAGTCATACATCACTTTCTTGAGACTTAAACTCGGAGGGCAAAATTGTCAAATTTTAATAATGTTACTTATACGTGAGATATGTCAAGTGGCGACCCAAATTCAAGAACTGGATAGATTGACGATCTCGAACTTCAATTTCGAAGATTGAAGAACTAATACTATAATAATTGACTAATTTAGGGAGCTCAATCCGAGTTGTTTCTAAAAAGGTTTACATTTGATCCCATACTAGACTAAGATTGATACTATTCAATCGATTCATAAAGAGACCGAGTTGACCTGATCTAACTTCCTTGATTATCAAATCGAAAATAAGTGTATCTACATAATAAACAGCCAATTAAAGGTTGTAAAGTTGGGCTTAAAAGTTGTGAATTAATCAATTTTGAGAAGATTTAGTCCAGTTGATAGTAAAGTTAAACAAAAAAATGTGGCCCTGTAGCTGCATGCATAGGGATTGAATCAAAGAAGGGAAAGAACAAAAATTATAATTTGTTGGTACCCTTTTGTTAACTTTTTCTTCCTTCACTTTTGGCATTTGCATGTGCATTAACCTACCAGCATTTTGTTTCCTAGAAACATAGTAAACATTTTTTTTTTCCAAAAAAAATTAAGTAGAAAAATACAATTTTCAAGGAAGCATATCACCACAATGAAAAAAAAAATAAAAAATTTAACTAGCGGAAGAAAAGAAAATTTCTACTCTTAACTTTCGTGTTTCATTGTGACGCTTTTTGTCGTTATGCATTGTGTTAGAGATATTTTTTATTCACGATTGCTTTCATAGTTATTATTCATTTTGGCATAAGTATGTGCATGTCTAAATATGAGAAAAAAAAAAGTAAAATTCAAATACTTTTAGGCTGCAGTGTAAAATTGACTGAAATATGAATAAACTCTCGACAAAGAAAGAAACATCCGTAAAAACAAATTAAGAATTTTAGCATGTTGGTCTAAGTTCGTTACAATACAACATTACATCGGATA